TCTCCACATCTTCATCAGTGCCCAATGTCACATACAATCTTTCCCGAGGAGCCAAGTATTGGAGGATCAGTGCATCTGGATGGATATGATTCCATTTGTTGATAATAGCACCATATATCTCCATTAATGTCGAATTACTTTTTATGGAAATAATGTGAAGTTGATTTTTGTATCGACAACTTCCAAGAATCACACTGGGTACATCGTTAGATACATCATTTGTAGCCATTGTGGGGTGGGTGGGTTTTACAGTGATTTTTTCGCCGGAAAAAAGGGGAAACCAGAGGAGAGAAATGGAGAAGAAATAGAGAAGAAAGAAAGCAGATAGAAATGAAGAGAGAGAAGAAAGAAAGAGAAGATGAAGAGAGAGAAAAGCAGGAGAGAGAAAAGGGTGAGAGTGAGAAGAAAATATAATAAAATATATAAAATTCACATTAGGGACTGATCTGCATGTTAGGCGTGTGAGTAGGGACTGAAATGCTAGGGCAAACTACCTAGGGACTGATCTGTGTTTCAAGTTTTGGATTAGGGATTTATCTGTAGTTTCCCGTTAATTATTTGTTGAGTGACAGTTATGTAATTATTTAGGCAAAATAAGTTTTTTAGTCTTGTAAGTTTAGCCGTTGAGAGATTTAGTTCACCATGTTTTATTTAGGCAAAATGAGTTTTGTAGTTGCTCCTCATAAGCATTTCTTTAATTATTTGCTCAGTGCCAGTTATGTAATTATTTGTTGAGTGTGATGAGTTCTGTAATTGCTAATGAGTGGCAATTTTTTAATTATTTGCTGAGTGGTCGTTATGTTATCACTGCTTAGCGGCACTTATGTAATTACTGTTGAATAGCACTTTTGTAATTACTGGTAGAGTGGAAATTTTGTAAATACTTGACGACTTTGAGTCATGTAATAATTTTTTAGTGTCAGTTATACACTTCTTTAGTGAGTAACAGTTCTGTAATTACCTGATGAGTACTAGTTTTGTAATTACTTAGTGAGTAACAGTTATGTAATAACTGTTAAACGGCAGTTCTTTAACTATTTGCTGAGTGTTTTATGTAATTACTTTATGTATGACAGTTCTGTAATTACTGATCAGTGGCAGTGCTATAATTACTTGGTGCATGGTCGTTCTTTAATTACTTGATGAGTGGCAGTTCTGTAATTATTGTTAAGTGGTAGTTTTGTAATTACTTGGTGAATGACTATTCTGTAATTATCTGTTGAATGCCAGTAGTGTAATTACATGTCGAATGGCAGTTCTGTAATTATACGTTGAATACTAGTTTTGTAATTATTGATGAGTGACAGTTATGTAATTACTACTGAGTGGCTGTAATTACTTGTTGAGTGAAACTTCTTCAATAACTTTTGAGTGGCAGTTCTGTAGTTATTTGGTGAATGGCAGTTCAGTAGTTATTGGTAAATGACAGTTCTTTAATTATTTGTTGAGCGACAATTTTATAATTGCTGTTGAGTGGTAGTTATGTAATTACCGGGTGCGTGCCACTTCTATAATCATTGATGAATTGCAAGTCTGTAATTATTTGTTGAGTGGTACTTCTGTAAATACTTGTGAGTGGCATTTCCATAATTACGATGTTGAGTGGCATTTTTGTAATTACCAAGTGTGTGAAGATTATGTAATTACTTGATGCGTGACAGTTCTGTAATTACTGTTAAGTGGCATTGCTGTAATTACGGTGAGTGGGAATTCTTTTACTGTTGAATGTCAATTTTGTAATTAATGTTGAATGGCAGTCCTGTAATTATTTGTTGAGTGGTAGTTCTGTAGTTACTTGATGATTGACAGTTCTGCAATTACTGTTGAGTGGAAATCATATAATTACTTGGTTCTTAGCAATTCTGTAATTACTTGATGATCGCCAATTTCAGAATTACTATTAAGTGGCAATTCTGTAATTACTTGGTGAGTGGTAGTTCTGTACTTACATGTTGAATGTCAATTCTGTAATTACTTGTTGGGTAGTTCTTCTGTAATTATAGTTGAGTTGTAGTGCTGTAATTATTAGGTGACAATTATATAATTACTGCTAAATGACAGTTCTGTAATTATTGATTAAATGACACTTCTATATATACTGTTGAGTGGCAGTTCTATAATTACCTGGTGAGTGGCATTTTTGTAATTACCTGGTGAGTGGTACTTCCGTAATTAATGCTTAATGAGAGTTATGTTATTATTTGTTGAGTGACAGTTTCTTTAACTACCTGGTGAGTGATAGTTCTGTAATTACAATGTTAAGTGACATTTCCTTAATTACTTGGTGAATGGTAATTCTGTAATTACTTGGTGCGTGGCAGTTCTCTAATTAATGTTCAGTGGTAGTTCTATAACTAATCGATAAGTGGCAATTCCGTAATTACCTGCTGAGTGCACTTTTTTATTTACCTGCTGAGTGGCAATTATGTAATTATTTGATAAGTGGTCGTTCTGTTATTATTGTTGAGTGACACTTTCGTAATTACTGGTTGAGTGGTAGTTCTGTAATTACATGTTGGGTGGTAATTTTGTAATTATTTATAAGTGGTAATTTTGCAATTACCTACTAAGTGGTAGGTTTTAATTACATAGTGAGTGGCAATTATGTAATAATTTGGTGAGTGACATTTCTGTAAATACTATTACATGACAGTTCTGTGATTATTTGCTGAGTGTAAAAAAACATAATTATTTGAGGATCAATTTTGTGCCAGAAAAAGTTGACCAAATATGTATCTCTAGTTAGATATGTATACGATGTTTTTTTAGAAAAAAATACATATAAAATTTTATAAGCGGTTGCAGTCGATAAATGATACTCCCTCTGATCCATAATAACTGCCTTTTTTTAAATATATTTTGTTTCATATTATCTGTCACTTTAGATTTCCAATACTACATTAATTACTTAATTTCCAGTTTATACCCTTATAAACTCTTTCTAATACTTATATTTTAATTCACTTGTCTCCCTTATTAATTATAAGATAAGGTCATACATTTTCATAAAATCAAGACACATTTAATGGAATCCTTAATCCGCGTGCAAATCTAAAAACGACTATTAAAAGGGAACAGAGGGAGTACTTTTCAAGGAAACAAAGATTTTTTTATTTTCTTCCCCAAAAAATCCAATCCTTCTTCGAAACTTTCCAAAAGAATTCCGTAACTTTCCTAAATATAGTAATAACATGATTTTCGAAAATAACCAAATAACGAAGGGTCAATTAGGGAGAACCCCCTCATTATTTGTTTTCATAGAACTAAACTCACTTTGTTATTTGCAATTGGGAGACTCCCTAACTTCTCATAACTTCATTTTACCCTTACATTATTCCATATTTCCACCCCTCTTACCCACTACTAGGGGTGGAAGTCGGATGGACCGGATCGGAGTAAGCCTTTATGGAAAATTTTCAAAAAAATTCGGAAGCACAAAATCAATTTCAATTCCAATTCCAAAATTTTCGGAATCTAAAAATTCATTCCAATTCCAAAAGGCCCGAAAATTTCTTAATTTCGGAAAAAAAATCGGAAATCACACAAGCTTTAAAATTTCAAAACTTAGCCGAAATTTTCTAAAATGTTCATAATTTTTCAAAAATAAGGACATCCACGTCGATAAAAGTAAAACTAATAACTACTAAATTTCAGTTCAAACAAATAAATAAAAATAAACACAACATAACATCCAATAAAACTTCTAACAAAAAATCATTATGTCAAATCCTAAAACAAAACTTATAGGTGTATTTTCGGAAAATAAGTATTACATAATATATATTATTTATAACTGTATTTTTCGGAAAAAAATCGGGCTTTTTCGGAATTAATTTTGGAATTAAATCGGATCGGAAATCGGAAATTCCAAATTTATTTTATATAATTCCAATTCCAATCCAAAACAATCGGAAAAATTCAGAAATCGGAATTTCGGAAGTCGGAATGAAAAAAGTTGTTCCAAAATCGGAACTTTTCGGATCGGAATCGACGGAAACTGTAAATTATGTTCCAACTTGCACCCCTACCCACTACGTATATATCGTTATATTTTCTACTTTATTTTAATAAATTTATTTTTTAATAAATTCATCTTTTTGTTCCCTGGAAGATTTACCGCATCATAAACAATTACAAATTACAATAATTAACTACAATTTTTTTTCTTTATTTACTAAAATTATAATCAGCTACACATTACAGTAATCAACTACAAAATTTTATTAGATAATCAACTATATTTTATTAGGTAATCAACTTTAATTTTAACGTATGTGTAATTCAAAACAACTATTTATTATAACAAAAACAGCTGTACAAAATCATAATCAACTACAAAATCACCGAAAGCAACTACAAAAATCACCGAAATCAACTACAAAATCACCAAAACCAACTACAAATTATTGAAATCAGCTACAACAAAACAAATGTATTTGAACAACAGTGACCGCCAGTGGTATTTATCGAGTTGACTATTTACCACCGTACAAAACCACCTCCGCCGTGAAAAATAGGAGAGAGCAAAAAGGGGATTGATCAACGATGAGCGTTTTCGGAAGATTGTTCCGTCGAACTGTTCTACTGAGCAGTAACTCCGGCGAATTACTATCAAAACTACGGCGATGAGCTTTGAAGTGGATTGGTGGAGAGGTGTCGCAAGAGAGAGAAGGGGGAGAGTGGATTAGTGAATGACTATGTGTATCAAAAAGTAGAGCTAATGAGGGATAATTACACTTTTCGTCCCTATACATTACCACTTACATGATTTTCGTCCCTAAACAAGATGAAGTTACAATTTTCGTCCCTAAACATGTCACTTTTATGCCGTTTCTGTCCCTCCGTCCATTTGTCCAGTTAGTTTGGACGGAAAATCGCACGTGCGCCGCACGTGACACACAAAAGCACCTCTACACCTCAAAACGTTCAGATTTTTAGAAACCCTAAGCCCCAATTCTCCGGAAAACCCTAAGCCCCAATTTTCGAAACCTCTCAATTCCTTATGAATTCATCATTGAAAGCACAATTAGAAAGTGGGCAAACAAGAGCTCGAGTGCATTATCCACCATTCCGCCCTTGCATAAACAATCAATTACCGCACTATAGGCCTTAACACTGGGTTTATAGATAGTCTTTTCCAACAACAAAAGCAAATCACGGGCAGTATGAACACGTCCAGCTTTGCAGAGCCCGTCAATCACAGTAAGAATCGTAACATCGTCTAGCTCACAGAGTTTCAAAGTCAAAATCTTCTTGAACAATTTCTCTGCCTCGGCCACATTACCATCCAAAAAGAGACCTTTTAAGAGAGTGTTGAATGTCGTAACATTTGGTTCGTAACCGTGCTTAAGGAAGCTGCCAAAGACAGCAAAACTGAAGTCTACCCCTCTCAAATGGCAACAACAATTAATCAAGATGTTCATCGTGTATACATTTACAGGGGCACCCCATTGACGCATTTCGTCGAACAGTTTAAGGGCGACGGAGTATTGTTTCATCTTGACAATAACTTGCAATTGTTTGGTGAGTTCAAAAACGGAGGGCTGTGGCCGCACTCTCATCATTTTACGAATCAAGAAAACAGTATCATCTAATTCATTTATACAAATTGAATCTGTTCTGGGCACAGTTGAAAATTTGTGGCAGGAGAAAGAGAAAGAAGAAGTAAAAATACCGCGTTCATGAGAAGATTTAGCAGTAATTGCTCTACAAACAAGAGCTATTTTAGAAGCCCTCATCCTCAGAGATTTCGTTGCAGAGAATTTCGGTTGCAAAATGAAGTTGTACAGAAGGTTAACGCACAACTCTTGCTTCGAAAATTTGGGCTTAGGATTTGGCCGAGAATTTGGATATTTATGTAATATTCTGAAAATCTGAACATTATGAGGGGGAGTGGGGTGTTTTTGTGTGTCACGTGCGGCGCACGTGCGATTTTCCGTCCAAACTAACTGGACAAATGGACGGAGGGACAAAAACGGCATAAAAGTGACATGTTTAGGGACGAAAATTGTAACTTCATCTTGTTTAGGGACGAAAATCGTGTAAGTGGCAAAGTATAGGGACGAAAAGTGTAATTATCCCAGCTAATGAAGTAAAAAGGGTAACTTGGGTATATTAGGTAACAAAAGATTTATGATTAATTTAAGTATCAAAAGGGGATATTGGATTATTGGTAAAAGGCAAATATCAAATGACTTGTGGTAACTTGGTATTATGTGCAAATGTGATTTGAGGGTTCTCCCTAATTAACCAAAGAAATCTAAAAGGGAACATTACACATTTCGTCCCTCAAGTTTACCTTGATTTCACATTTGGTTTCCAAGTTCACAAAAAAACAAGTTTAGTCCCTCATGTTTCAATTATTTAATACTTTTGATCATTTATGTTAATTTGTTAATTTTCTGTTAGTACTAACGGAATCAAGCATGCGTTCATTACTTTCTTAACAGGCAGACTAACTGTAAATTGAAGAAAATGACAAAAAGTGTCAATTTGTTGAAACATGAGGACCGAATGTGTTTTTTTAAACATGGATGTCCAAATGTGAAACCAATGCAAACTTGAGGGATGAAAACTGTATTTTTCTCAAATCTAAATATAAGGTTCTCAGCCCAAATCATTTAAGTTGTAGGAGAATTAAAGGGCGGAAAGATGGGATGTGCATTTAATTTGAAAGGATATTCACTAGGCCAACATGATATACACGTTTATTTACACGCTTCAATCGGAAACACATCGCAAAAAATCGTACCAAGTCATAAAAGAAAGACCAACAGGCAACTATACCTAGTCATTATAGACATAGCAAAACTTTGTTTTATTACAGACAAAAGCTCAAATAAATAATTTATATTTTTGGTACAACTTTCTTAATCATTTCTAGAAGAACAACATCTTTGCTATATATTTGCAGGTGATTAATTAACATGGACGAAGTAGCTGCGTCCGCCGAGAATCCCCTTTTGTACATTTCCTCTAAGAATGGCATTGCCTTGCAAACCTCTTTCCTCTTTAGCAAACCCTGGATTATGTTGTTGTATGTCACGCTATCCGGTGCACAACCACTTCTCTCCATTTTCACAAGCAAATTTTTTGCCTCGTCTACAAATCCTTCATGACAAAGTGAACCAACAACAATGGTATACGCTTGACAATCAGGTTGCAAACCTTTAGACGGAAATTCGTTTAAAAGATGTTTTGCATCTTCAAGTTTCCCATCCCTGCACAAACCGTTAATCAGGATACGATAAGTGATTATATCGGGACTTGCTCCTTTATCTTCCATCGTCCGTAGAAATGAAAATGCTTCAGAAATCTGATGAGTCTTGCACAAGCATTCCAACAAAATATTGTAAGTACTTAAATTAGGATGCACTTTCCGAGTTTCCATATCATTGAAAAGTTTCCATCCATCATTAATTCGACCTTCACTAAGAAGTCCATGTATCATGATGTTATAGGTAGTTATTGTGTGCTCTAAGCCTTTAGAAGAAACTTCGAGAAAAAGACGCCAAGCTTCATCCACTTTACCCTTCTTGCAGTATCCGTTGATTAAAGTGCCGTAGCTCATAATACATGGCTTAAGGCCGTTGCCCGTTAGAGAATCAAATACTTGTTTCGCTTTATCCATTTTCCCTTGCAAACAATATCCATCTATCAGTGCAGTGTAGGTGACAATATCGGGATGAATATTTTGTTGCTTCATAATTTCCAAAACATCCTCAGCCTCTTTAACATTTCCTTCCTTGCAAAATGAGTCCACTAATATATTGAAAGTAACAACAGTTAAACAAATCTTGTGGTTGACCATTTCATCTAACAAGTGTTTCACCTCTTTCCATCTACCAAAATCGCACAAGCCCTGAATCATCGAGTTATATGTGACAACGTCAGGTGAAATGCCCTTATCAAACATTCTAGACTTCAGCTCGAGTGCATTATCCACCATTCCGACTTTACATAAGCCATCAATCACAGCGCTATAAGCCATAACATTGGGTTTATAAATAGTATTTTCCAATAACAAGAGCAAATCATGGGCAGCAAGAACATGTCCATTTTTGCAGAGCCCGTTTATCACAGTAACAATTGTAAAATCATTGGGCTCACAAAGTCTCAAAATCAAAAGCTGCTTAAACAATTTTTCCGCATCGGCCACCTTACCATCTAGAAAGAGACCTTTTAGTAGAGTGGTGAATGTCACAACATTTGCGTTGTAGCCCTGTTTAAAGAAGATGCCGAACACAGCAAAACCAACGTCTACGCGTTTCAAAAGGCAACAGCAATTAATCAAGATGTTCATCGTGTACTCGTTCATAGGGGCAGCCGATTGACGCATTTCGTCGAACAGTTTAAGGGCAACCGAATATTGCTTCATCTTGAAAATAACTTGCAGTAGTTTGGTGAATTTAAAAACGGAAGGCTGTGGCTGCATTCTAACCATTTGACGAAACAAGAAAACAGCATCATCTAATTCATTTATACAACTCAAATCTATTCTGGGTTTAGGTGAAAAGGATCGATCTTTGTGAAAATTTGAACAGAAGAAAGAAAAGGGATAAGTAAAAATAGCGTAATGGTGGGAAGATTTAGCAAATAATGCTCTACGAATCAGTATTTCGGTTCCTCTCATCTTTTTTATGAAGATAATTTCAGTGAAGAATGAACTGGTACCTACAGAAGAAGAAGGCTCGTAGACTACCGAATTTATTTATTTATTTTTTTTTGTTTTTTTTTTGTTTTTTGTTTTTTAATGTTATTTTAAGGGCAAATTGCATTTCTTCCCAATAATTTTCTAATTTCCGCACTTTCCCCCTCAAAGTTAAAAAAACAAAGGGCAAATTGCATATCACCACCTGCAAATTTCTAATTTTCGCACTTTACCCCATCAAAATTTTTAAAATTGAATGTCCCGATAGCAAAACCTTGATGGATTATTCATCGGAATTGAGTATTTTTGTTGCACGTTTCCCCTTAACAACACTACTTTTTTGCATGTTGTCCATTAAAAATGTTATTTTTGTCGCACAATGCCCTCCAAAAATTGGGTTATGGGACAAAGCGCGACCAAAATAATATTCGAAGGGGGAGTATTCTTTTTTTTTTTTTTTTTTTTTAAATTTTAGGGGGCAAAGTGCAAAAATGATAAATTTATAGGGGGTGTAGTGCATTTTGTCCAAAAACAAAATCTTTCAGAGCCATATTGTCTCCTTGGGGGCCTACAAAAGCAAATTATATTACTCCTTTAGTTTACCGAAAATGGCCTATGATGTTTTTTTTAGCACAATCTCTAAATTGTGCGATTTTAGGGGAGTAGTTTTGCTAATAAAATTGTCCAGACCGTCCGGTATGATTTTTCCCGTCATACATCTTGTTCATTGCTCTTGGAAGATCCCCACCAGAGAAATAAATACCATCTCTCCTTGCTTCGAAATAACATATACCGTCAGTACAAGGGTCGTCCTTCAAATGGGATGTAAATGCATCAAAAGATACTTCCACATTACACCACGAAAGATGACAAAAGTAGAAAGTATTTCCAGTATTATTCTCACGAAATTTCCAATTAAAATCATAATTTGGATCAAAGTAGTAAGTTCTTAAATCATTATCTTAGATGTGCAATGCGATTTCATTGTGGGTAATGGCATCTTATTGACCACGTGAACCTCGTATTGCTCAGAAATAAGGCACAACAATATTTGTTGTTTAAAAAAAGGGTAAATAGCATTTGACCCCCTGTGGTTACAAGCTTTTGCAGAGGACCCCTTACTCTCATAATATCAGCACATAACCCTCTTATGGTTGATAGGGGTAGCTTCCGTTAGTTTTTCCGTTAAAAAAAATTGTGCGTGTTGTTAAGTGTATATTTTTACACTTTATCGTACCTTTCTATTTGAGCTTTTGGTGTGTTTTAACGATAATTGGTGCTTAAAAAGTTGATTTATTGTATTTTATGTACAAATTGAAGAATTGGAAAAGTATGGGGTCAAAACTGCAATTTTGGAGAAAATATGGGCCAAAAGTGAAAAAATCAAAATTCTGAAGATTTAAAGCTCGGACGGCCGTCCGAGTTTTAGTTCAAATTGAGGGATGGCCGTCCGAAACCCCGAGGCAACGCAGTAAATGGATTTTAATTGCACAAGGAAACTGCCCTCTTCCCCAAGTTTTTCACCCTATATAAGACCAAGCCAAGCACACAATTGGGGATTTTTTTTACGCAATTTCGAGAGCAACAAAGAAATAACAAAGACGAAGAACTCGAAGACTCTAAGCATAGATTTATCATTTATGACTTATTTTATTTGTGTTTTTCCTTTAATCATGAGTAGCTAATTTTCTTATTTCTAGGATTTTATTTGGAACACTATGTGGGATTTATGAACCCGATTTTATGCAAGTTTTAATTCCGGATTATTTCTCCTACTTGTTTTATAAAGTGCATGAATTTGATCACCTTATGTGCTTTTATGTTATTGTTAATCGCATGAATCGGAAGATCGGGTTAATAATTAGAACTATGGTAGAAGAGCCTTTGTGGTATTAACATAGGAATATAGTTAATCTCTTAGGTAGCCATTATTGAGATTTGTGCTTAATGCTATGTTCTAGAATTAATTGCATAGGAATATAGTAATTGAATCTAGAGTATTAGAATCGTAATACACGCGGAAGCGGGTTATGATTATTTTAGCATCTCAGGTTAATAATCCGGGTTAATTGCTTGCATAATTGAAGGAATTGGGGGAATAATAATCACATAGGGGGGAGAATAAAATCCTAGACTTGTTTACTCTGATAAATCTTCGTGTTTAATTTGCTTTCTTGCTTTGTGTGTTTTAATTTGCTTTAATTTAGTTTAGTTTAATTTAGTTAATTTTCTCTCTAAAGTCGACTGTGTAGGGTGGGCTTGATAATAATTGGTAGAATTTAGCGTATAGGATTAAGTAATTAAATATTCCCTGTGGGTTCGATATCCGGACTTAATTGTCCACTATATTACTTGTACGATACGTGCACTTGCGTGTAGGTATTTCCAACCAACACGTGTCAAACGTCAAAATGCTATATTTTGCAGATAAGTCCCTTGTGCTTACACTTTCACTTTAATTTTTGCAGATAACCCCCTTGAAGTTTGACACAAGATAACAGACGCTACATCTATCAACCACAAGGGGGTTATGTGCTGATATTATGAGTACAAGGGGGTCATCTGGAAAAACTTGTAACCACAGGGGGTTAAGTTCAATTTACCCTTAAAAAAATATTAGCTAATATAATGAGATATGGGATGAGATTTTTCATGGTAATACATGTCATGAAATAATTTTTTCATAAAGTGAAATTGGACAAAAATAAATTCAAGAGTAAGACGACATATGAACGTGAAAAGGTAGTTCCGTACATAGTAAATTTAAATCTACAAACCATAACGCAAGTACACTTGTTCATATATGATTTCAAGAAACTAAAAGTAAAATATTTCTACAAGGGATAAAACAGGAAAAACAACTCGGTTTATGATAAAGAGGAATCACATTCGTATGAATTAGTCTGTCTTGTCACTACATTTTGTTTTCCGATCAGCTTTTTCTCCTAAGACCGAATTTTAGTTGTTGTTAGAAACATTCTAAAATATCAGTATGTTTCTGGCACCTCAAATTCAGTCGGAATCAAAGATGACTAATATTCATAAATGAATGTAGCTCCTCTTTTATATAAACTAGATCGATTTTCCTAATTTCCCCTTCTGAGAAATGATTGTAGCTTATGTAATTATAAGTTCTTCTTAGCCTTGGACTTTTCATAGCTTTCATCGTCAAAACCCTACACAATTTAAAACAAAAAATATTAGTAACAAAAGCCGACCATTGAAAAACTAAACAATTGTTATTAGTCAAGCACAATAGTTTCATAACATTACCGATCTAAATGACAGTATCTTGAGCATCGGTGCACAGTCAAGCAGGCGAGCAAGTAGTCCCCACCCGTTAAAATCCATGTATTTAATCGTCAAAGAAACCATTTTGTCAAAGAAGGTAATTTTGTTGTATTCGCACAAACAATGAGACTGTCAAATTAATACTATATTCCATCTTAAAAAAATTAAAAATGAAAAACTCGAAACATCTTAAACTTTGCTAATAAAGAAACTATTTTTTTTCGATAAAAAAATATAATGAAACTATTGATGCAATAAAAAAAAAGTTAACTCTATCAAAAAATTGGTTTTACCCTTATGTCGCTGACGAGAATATTGTTCGATATGCTTCTCCTCCATATGTTTGTCAAAAACCAAATAAAAAGATATTAAAGAAATGTCGTAAACTCCGACCATAATATATTTTACAGTTGCACAAAAAATAATGAACTTATATCCATATATATATCGACAAATGATATACCTAATTGGGCCGACCCTATGGGCCCCCAATTTATCTAATAATTGGGCCCACTACAGAAAAACCCAATTAGGCCTGCTACACGAAAGCCAAAACACCTTCAAAATAAGGCTTGGGCTCAACAAAGTAAGCCCAACCCAATCGACGACATATAAATAGAGGTTTTTACTCATTTGTTAAGGTACGTTCTATTATTCACAAGTATTTAGAGTGCATATTCTACCATCTCCACTATCCGTACATCTGACTTGAGCGTCGGAGGAGTTTCCGTCGGATCAACCACCGGCTTAGTTCACGTGTGTTCATTTCGCAGGGACCTCAGGATCATCAAATTGTCAAGCTACTGATCCAAATGTGAAAATTAATTGAAAGTTTAGATAATATAGAGGGACATAACAGAAATACGGAAATGCTACTTCGACGAGAGGGTGATTATACGAGATATATATACCGACTAAATTAACAGAGCGGTCACCACTTGATAAATCAATTAATTACATCATTAGAATTTCACGGACGGGTATGAGAAAATCTGCATCGTTTAGCACATTTTTTATTGTTACTATATACTAGAAAGCGTGCCCTGTGTGTTGCACGGGGTCACATTCTAAAAGGGAAAGAAAGTAATTGTTTAACTACATCACAATAAAAATTGTAATAAACTATATATTAAATAATATTAAAATATTTAGCTGTGAAATTTAAAATATAGTGTTATTACCTTATTTAACTTGTATTATAAATTTACTAACATGAGGGACCTGTTACTGTAGCATATATTTTTGTCCTACCATAAAAATATCACATTTGATAAGCCTTTGTTAAAGAAAACAAATAACACTGATCATAATAGTAGAGCTTATATTAAATATACCTATTTCAGATTGCAAGATGATCTGTACAGTTTATTGTAAGATGATCTATACCTGTTTCAAATTGACTGATGGAAGATATCCATTGATCATAATAACATAATAATCAGTTTTTTGGAATACTTTTTTTTCATTCCGATTTCCGATATTCCGATTTCCGATTTTTCCGATTATTTTTGGAACGGAAGTGGAATTACATATAAAATTATTGGAAATTCCGATTTCCAATCCGATTGTATTTCCGATATATATATATATATATATATATATATATATATATATATATATATATATATATATATATATATAATATTTTTGAATTGTTTTTCTATTCATGTTTTGCAAGAACTTTTTCTTTTTCTTTTTTGAAAATTTGCAAGAACTATGGTTGCTTTGATAAACCGATTATGTTGTTTTTACAAGTGTTTACATTTCATCTTATTGGCCTTTGCTTTGGATTCTTGCCTTTTGCCGGAAAATTACGAAAATATTAAAAAAATTACAAAAAATTACCATTATTTCCGATTTTGGAACAAAAAATTAAGAATTAATGCCATTTTGCCAAACCTAGGCAGTGGGTGAGGGTAATTTTGCAGTATCATCTGCACAAACAATGATACTGTCAAATTAATACTATATTCCATCCAATTTTCTCCCTCCCCCAGTGGTGGTACTCTAATATTTTTTCTTTTTCTATCTTTTCCATGCACATCACCCGAATTTTCTCCCTCCCCGGTGGTGAATCTTCTTTATCTTTTCTTCTTCTTCTTCTCCATGGCTTAAAACCTAGCGGCCCCTCCCCCAGTGGTGGTACTCTAATATTTTTTCTTTTTCTATCTTTTTCATGCACATCACCCGAATTTTCTCCCTCCCCCGGTGGTGCATCTTCTTTATCTTTTCTTCTTTTTCTTCTTCATGGCTTAAAACCTAGCCGCCGCCGCCTCTCTTCTTCTCGATGGCCAGCGACCACCAAACCAATTATCTCCCTCCCGGTGGTGGTACTCTTCTCTCTATCTATTTTCTTCTATCTTTTCCATGAACACCACCCAAATTTCCTCCCTCCCTCGATGGTGGTAACTTATATATACATAATTTTTTTTTCTTTCCGACATCTTCTTCTTCTTAGTCTGTTAATCTATTTTTGTTTTCTCTTTAATCTCCATCTTCTTTTAATTATTCTTCTTCCCCCTCTCATATCTTCTCTCTCTCGATTCATACCCAAAAAAAAAAAAGATTACTTATTTTTCTCTCTCCCGTTATTATTATTATTGTTTTTTTTTTCTATCAATTGGACAGATATTTACACAGAGAAATTCTCTAGCGCTGTGTTTCGCGGCTTCTTGTCCAATCTTCACGTTTGGAGTTTATTCGTTCCGACCGCGGGAGCGTGCTAGCAAGTGATTGTCCAGTCTTCACGTTCGTCACGTTTCGATTGCGGGGGCGTGTTAGAGAATATTATATTATAGAACTCTCCTAATATTAGGATTCTAGTATGATTCGGCTACCTAGATTAGTTAGGATTTAGTTACCTAATCAAACTCTACTACCTTGCAATATTTCTCTATATATATTCCATTTAATCAACCCATAACATAATGGGGGGTTTCT